GAGGGGGAGTTCACCCCACAGATCCCCAGGACTGGGATGTATGTTGTATTAGATGAAAAGAGTCACTAGGTGGCTCTGTCCTTTCTAAATAGAACTGTGGTCCGCAAAAGATAAACTTAAGGGACAAACTATCCCTGCTAGGTAGAACGTCTTACTCAGAATAGTAAACCATGATTTGCCATAGTGGCCTCTCATTCAGAATAATCTGGAGCAACGGGTTAAGAATTAGGGGCTGGTGGGGACTGGCAGTGCACGCCTATAATCCTAGTAGGTAGGAGGCCTAAGTAAGATCACCAAGAGTTCCAGAACAGCCTGGCCACGTACAGTGAGATCCTGTCTCAAAAAAATTAGACCCGGAAAAACTGCAAAGCATGCATGGGGAGCAGTCTGCTGGCAGTGAAGGAAGGCACTCTATATTCTTAGGGACATCTTGTCACTGCAGGGAGCAGACTTCAAAGTTTTCATAATCCAAGACCCTTTAGGTCCCCAACTTTTCTTTTGTGCTTTCTCTTTTTATTTTAGGCTTTTTCATTTAAAGACAAATATAAAATTTGGGCACTGTAACATGAAACATTGCTTCCCAACTTCCAAGGCCGTACTCTCTTGTAACACCCCAGGGGAAACATCACAACCAAGCCAAATAACTTGCTTTCAGACCATTTGCGAAGGGGAGGAGTGGGTGCTTCATGTTTATCTATAAGAAGAGCATAGTTAAAACCTTCAAACCAAAATACTATTAAGACCAACACCGTTCCAGTCCACAGCATCTTCCTGGAGGCAGAAAGAAAGATTGTGCGTTAGAGCTGACAGTGGTTATCTGCTTCCAAAAGATGACCACATGGTTCATTTGAAGTGAAATTTACATTTTTAGGTTTTCATTTTTAAGAGGTAAGCTGCCGAAGTACAGAACTAAGTAAGGCTTTTTCCTCCCTTCTCCCCTCTTTTTTCAAGTTTGTGCAATGACTTTTCTGTATAAGAAATGATGGGTTGAATGAATCAGAGCAGCAGCATACAGCGAAGAACCAGACAAGAAAACGTGATTACTCTGATCAAATAAAACAGGAAAACTAGCCCAGTTTTTAAACACACCACTAGGTCCCTAAATATCGCTCTCCCTGAGGAAATGTTACCTCTTAGACGAGGACCTCAGACCCGTCACTAAGAGTATATTTAGGAATATTTCTAAGTGTAAAAGAGACCATTTTTCTTATTGCTATTGTCCTGAGCCAATAAATAATGATTGCGAGGCAGTATTCTATTTTTTTTTCCAGGCAGGGGGCCCCATCTGAAAACTTACAAAATTGAGAGAAACCCTGCACGAAAATTTGGAGATTTTTTTCTAAAGGAAACGTTTTGTACAAGCTTAAATTGCTTTAAACTCAAACTTTTAAGCTTTCAGCTTTAAAATGCTAATTCCAAAATCACTTACCTAAATTGTCTGAGTACTTACACCTTTGAAAAGATAACAAAAATCACACTCAAAGCCGAAAAACCCCGGGGTAACATAACGGGACAAGTGCTTTCAGTAAAAGAACCGAGCAAAATTCGGACGGAAAAAACGAAACGCCGATTTCAGCTGCTCTGATCACGAAAACCCCGATTGAAAAGGGCCGCACGAGGGTCACCGGGACTGCGTTCCCCAGAAGGGTTGTCAACCTATTAACTTGGGGCTGTACTCGCAAGTGAAATAAACCAGACTCACGTACACGTACGTGTAAACAGCGTATTGACTGACTCCCTAGTGTGAGAAGCTGAAAGAGTAAGCAAGATCCAAAATATACAACAGGTGTTGTGAAAGAGAAAGAAACTTTAAAATTAGGAAAGGTAGGGGCCGGGGAGATGGCTCAGTGGAATAAGTGCTTCCCTGGCAAGCACAAGGGCCTGAGTTCAATCCCTGGTTCCACCAAAATAATAATAA